AGAGAGAGAGAGAGAGAGAGAGAGAGAGAGAGAGAGAGAGAGAGAGAAGGAGAGAGATTGAAACAAATAAATGTATTTTTATTTTCGCACGAAAAGTCGAGAATCAATAATTGCCTCATCAATTTTCCTACCAGTTCTTTCTTCTGGCTATTGAAATTTCGCCGAGAAAAACAAAAAAAATCATATCGAACATTCTCCAACGATTTTCCTCCGAAAAAATACTAATTTTAGAATCAATAATCACCTTGAAACATCAGATAAACACTTTAGAAGCAATTGATGATAATAATTTGTTTAATATGTTTACAAATGAGCTGCTCCAGATAAAAAACAAAATCTGGCAACAGAATAATCGCACTGATGCTGTTGAATACATACACGATGCAATATCCAAGTTGGATATTGAAGTTGGTTGGCAACCACACATATCTATCTATTTGCGGAACAATTGGAGTGATTGACGTCAATCGGTAAAATTTGTTTTCATCATACGTTGCAGACAAAACATCATTTGCTGTGCCTAATGCTGTTTTCCGCATGACCGTACTTGACATTTTGCGTCAAACGAACGCTTGAACTTGTCATTGAAACAAAATTCAACGGTTTTATCTTCGGTAAAAAATCTAATCAATTGATTAGATGTTGTTAACAACACGTCATTTCTAATGCAAACCACACTTCTGCTTCAGTTCACTGTCCTGTGACTACCACCATTGGCACTACAGAAATGAGAAGCGCTCCATATTGAACCACGCACGCCGTGTGTCACACGCTGCATAGCAAAATTAACAAAAGACATAAAAGAGAACCGAAAAATGCCGACGGAATACCATTTGTATAAATAATGCTTACAAAGTATACATGAAAAACAACAAAGAAAAAAAAAATAAACTTAATAGCTTTACCTTTTTTTAAATTCGACTTACTGAATATACAAGCGATACAACTGCTTTTATTTATACGATGATATGTATAGTTAATAATAATGGGAAAAAAATCGTTTGAACGGAATGCGCTTCACTCGCAAATTTTATACATAAAGCAAACAAACACGTCGAATTGATTATATCGTGGAATGCATTGTAAATGAACAAAATGATGACAATAAACTTCTGATTTGTTAGAAGAGATTAGATGAAAATGAAAGTCCATATGTTGTTAATCCATTTTTCATACACTTTTTGTATTTTGTTTGCTCTCATCTTTTATTTGGTTGCTATTAAGATTCTTCCGAAGAGATTCCAGAAAACTACATAAACATCTAAAAAAAAGTTCTTATGTGAATGGTAATGATTTTTGTTTGTTCAGAAAAAATGTGCATTTCTTTGAAAACACTACACAATAGACAATATAGGCATATAACCCTTGACTTCGTTTTTTTTCAAATGTGTAACATCATTATTTTGTTCTAAAAAAACACGTATATAGTTGATTCAAGAAAATTCCGGTACATGTAGACTACCTCAAACTGGTTGCTATGATGATGCTTTGCTTTGTTACAATTTTTATTAATGGTAAGTTTTCATCTTAAGGTAAATTCTTGACGATTTTCAGACGTTCATATTTCTTGTGTTTACATTGTTCAACTACTCTTTAATATGATTTGTGGTGATAACATTCTGATTCAATGTTTCGAAGATGAGTGTTTGGAAATATGCTTCGAAAAATCCAATCGGTGCAAAATATGAAAAGAAACTATTGTGCGACGAACACTATCTGAGACGGTAGTAGAAAAAAAAAATGATGAGTCCACTTTTATTGCAAAAAGTAAAAAAAAAACAGTTCTGATTTAAATGCACTTTTTCGTACGACTTTCAATTTAAATGCTAAAAATATGTGCTCCAAATATTCGGTATCAATCCATTTAACTTTTTTTAGTTGCTTGCTGATGATTATTCAGGACATCATTCGATGGCACACTCGTCGGGAGACCCAAAAAGTAATCGGCAATACGGCCAGCCTCACGTAAACCGCTCAAGAAAGCACCATGAACCTGCGATTTGGATGAAGCATTAGTAAAACCAATGAACAACGTTCGAAATTGCAATAAATTTTAAACAAAATTTCCAGAAATGCGCTACATGGGAAAGTTTTAAAAAGGTTGACATTTAAAAAAATGACTTACAGTCGCTGGGTAATTTCGAATGGTGTGTTCACCGGCGAAAAAAAGTCGTGGCATCTCATTTTGGTTGGGTTCACTTGGGCTATTTTCATCGTATGGTGAAACGGGTGCGGCAAGGAGATCATAATCACTTCCAGATGAACCGACCGAGACGAAGCTGTACGATCCACGTGCCCATGGATCGGCTCGCCATCGTGTAACGACCGTTTCTTTCGGTTGCGGTACAGCGGTCACGCCAAAAATCCCTTTGAGGACGGCAATGCATCGGCCGACAATCACATCATCCGACACAGTTTCCATAATGGCAGCGGCTTGACCAGCAACCAACGCCAACAAAACCGGTGATTGAGATATGCTCCAAAACAGGAACAACTCACCACGACTCGCTGTCGTGCTGCCAACATGGCCAAACAGATTTGTGTTTGCATCCCAGAAGATGCGATCAAAGCATAAAATCACTTTGTTTAGATTGCCAAAACCTAAACGTCGTATCGCACTTTGCTTCCAGTCGGGCAGTGGTGGGTGAAATTGGACCGTATTCTCTTGGTTTGTGGACAGTGGTGAAATGGCAAGCTTTAGAATACCAAGCGTTAAAGTGCACAACACCAAATCGGCCTTGTATGTCACAGTGGCGTTGTTTGTTTTCAGATTTTCGGCCGTCACTTCAACACCACCTTCGAAATACTTAATTTTCTTCACCGCCGTATTGACGCGAATGTCAAGGCCATCAGTCAATGCGATTGGTACACATGAGTATCCGTTCCGTACAGTCGTATGGCTTCCAATGAATCTACAAAATGACATCGACATAGATAACAGTTTTTCGTTTTTTTTTTTAAAGAAATAGAAAAAGAAAAAACTCACTCATAATCGTCATCCTGATCCCAGTGCTTGAGTGATAAGTTCTGAAGAGGTGTTGCATTAGCAAATTCCAGATTAGCGAAATGCCAATCCAGTATTTGACGATCACTGGACGATAAGTACACGTCGCTCGGTGGGTTTAGCTCCAATTCTTTGAGGTTTGATTCGAGAGTCTCTTTAGTTGCCTGCAAATTTTCCAGCTCTTTGTGAGCCAGGCTCCAATCTCGTAATGTACTGCGCACTTTGAACTCATGCTCCAAGTATGTAGTGCTATTTTCATTGGTTCGTGTGGGACGCGTTTCAACTAGTTGCTCATAGAGTTTTTTCAACTCTTGCACCGTTTCCATCTGATTCGAAATGGCTTGTTCGTTTTCGATGATTTTCTGTTGTATGGCAATGATACTGTTCAAATTATTCACTTGCTTCTCTTTCACATGTTTTTCCTGTAGTTTGATTATCCATTCGAGTGCTTGACCAAGTGAAACCGGTGTGTTTCCAGCATAGTTGAAATCAAGCTGATGCGATAGGTAGCTGGTTGACTCGAGCAGTCGATTAAATTCTCGTTCAACCATTTCATCTTTTAAGCTGCTTATTGATTTGCCATCCGGACCGTACAAACGACATGACTGCTTGATTGGTACCATTTTCATGTCGGTTTGCCGACTAATCGTTGTCAACGGATTACCATAAATGCCTGTCACCACCATTGCACCCATGTCAGCGTAGTAATTATTCTTTCGAAATGTTGCAATTCGGCCACCAACTCTATCACGAGCCTCCAAGACAATCACATCCATGCCGAATTGCTGCAGTTGCTGAGCGGCAGCCAAACCTGCGAATGAAGGACGTTAAATTATTTTTACTACGATTCTCTTTTGAATATATGAACGTTTTTGTCTTTTTTCTGGTTGAATTAACATTTTTTTCTTGATTTCGCATAAAAATAGATTTTTAGACAGGCAAAAGCCTTCTTCGGGGAAAATTCAAATATGTCAAAATTTCTTCAAAGAAAAAAAAACCATTTTTCTTCAACTATTTGCAAAGTAAAGTCAAATGTTTACCTGAAATTCCAGCGCCAATAACAATGACCTTGCCCAGTTTCTTGGTTGGAATTGGCTTTAGCCGCCTGAAAATGCCGTAATTAATGAAACCATGGCGTTCTAAAAACTCGTGAATTTTTCGCACCAAGCTGGGATCACTGCAACAAAATATTCGATCAAATATCGATATGAAAATGGTTAAATAGAAAAAAAATGCGAAAATCAACATTAACGGTTGATACCTGTCAAATGGCTTTTCCATCTTTTTCAGTGCATTTTCAAATGTAAGTTGAATTTTGGGGTCCTCAATCCACATTTGCAGTATTCGATTTCGAATATTCAGGAATACTCGTTGTGTGGCCAGGCCATTTTTGGTGATATCTGGAAAACTGGACGCTTCACCCGATGTCATTTTTTCAAATGGTAACCTATTTCAGCAGAAAATTCGATTTGAACATCATTTCCACATGAAAATGCGTATTTTGTTATGTTTATAATATCTAACCTCGATTGAAATGCGGCCCCCTCCAGTCCAGCCAAAATCTCTTTGAATTGAATCGGATCATTGTCTTTATTATCAACTGGAGTCGGGCTGGGTGATCGTTCTCGTTTTCTAGATCGTGTTTCGGCTCGATTTTCGCCGCTACCGTATTTCTTGTCGGCATTTGTATTTGCGGTCGATGAGTTCGGACTGTTTTTGTATGTGTCATTGGTGTGGTCATTGCCATTACTGCGTCCACTCCGCGATTGATCGATATTTTTGACATCATCATTTTCATTTTTATTCTTGCGAACACGCCGGCTCACGCGTCGTCCATCGCCATCGTCCAACAAAAAATTGGACGATTGTTCGTCAACGGCTACTTTATTGTCGTTTGAACTGTACGAACCCGATTTTATAGACACCGTCTTCTCAGGCACATCATCATCCTCCTCATCGCTAATCAGCACACATTCGATTTCTTTCTGAACATTTGCGGCCGGTGCGCCCATTTTATAACGTCACAAAACGTTGTTCAAACAACTTTTCAACAACTACGAACGTTCGAATGACTAAAATCACTTTTTTTCGGTTTAAGACACTAAAATTGTAAATCTATTTTAATTGTTTTGGGGTTTCGTCTTGTTTTGCATGTAAATTGTTTATATTTTCCCCGCAATTTGACAGTTGTGCCTTGATGTGTGACAGCGCCGCCATGCGACGAGTGCGTGAGACGTTTATTTTTTGTTTGTTTGTTTCGTACAATCGTATGGATGCGTTTAATGAAAATGAAAATAATTGTTTGCTATTTGAACACTGGAAGTTGTTTTTTTTTTTAGGAATATTTCTACTCTCTTTTGACACTATTGACTATAGAATTTCATTGCATCATACTTATCGTACAGAGGATTTCGTTTTGTCACAAATCTCCAGTACAAATTTTCACTAATCAATGTCAATAAGGCAACACTGTAACCGATGAGCATAGCAAATAGAACACCGTACAATTTTTTCAAGTCCATCAAGGCTTCTTGTGGTGGCTCTTCGATGCTTGCCTCAAATCTTTGTATGGAATCAGACAACCATTTGCTAACTAGGCCAGCTTCCATCACTTGACGCAGCAAACGGTCGAAACTTGGTTTCAAAGGTGAATTCTTTTCTAGCCCAATCGATATCGGCATATTTATCGCACATTCCTTCATAATGTGCAAGTACTTCCAATTTTTCGACTCGATTTGGTCGTGCTTGTGTCGCATCTCTTTCAGAAAGAACACATTTTCGTAATAGGCAAATTTTCCTTGCGATACTCGATTGATCTGAATTGGTTTGATGCGAAAAAAAATGATATGATTTCTACCCAAATAGAAAATAATAATCAAAAATATTCAGTACCGCCTCCTCCGATGTGCTGATGATTTCGATCTTTTCTCCCAGTTTTTGACCAACTTCATCCGTTGATGTTAAGAAAAACTGCCGGTTTTGCTCTCCCCAAACACCGCAGCTAATCGGACCCTTTGCCAATTCTTCCAACGTATCAATGGTTAAACGTGGAGCTGGATTCGCTAGAATGGCTGTCAAACTTGCACGATAGGCAACCACAATTAAAATGCAATAGATCCAATACCATCCCGTAAGAATCCTCACTGCCCATTTCTGAGGCAGGCTAGGATAATAAAAATGTTTGTATAGAGTGTTCTTTCTCGATTTCGTTATAATAAACTAATAGATTTAACTTGAAAGTTACATTTACCGTGGCAATGACACCACCAGCAACATTGAATATGTATAAAGAATGCAATCACTGAAGCCATGGAATATATCCCGGAATTTTTTGACACGTCTCTAAGCATTTCAATGTGGAAAAGTAATTTAAATTATATTGCACCCATTTCATTGGTTTGAATAGTATGGTTTACTTACTTTTTTGAAAATATACTTCGAGCTCAAAAACGGAGTTTCCGCCATTTCAAGTTTGATTGAATTAACAATATCAGTATTATTGTTTGCACTGTTTGGCTTGCGATTTTGTTCCGGTTCATTTCGTTGAATCCAAATATTAATGTGCTCAAATACGTAGAACACAAAGCCGACACAAAATAAGAAAAACAAAACACCAGCCCACATCTCAGAACTGTATAAAAAAATATTTATTAATCCAAATTTGCTAAAGCAATTAGCGAAAATGCATAAAAATCGAAAACTGAAGCATAGTTACCTGAACGGTAAAACTAAAGTCTGCCACGAGTTATCGGTCAATGATTCCGGTGTGAGAAATGTCAAGCATTGCGATGAATACGGAATTGATAAGTCCATAATTTTCAAGTGGTATGGAATGTAATGCAAATCACCCAATGCAATATCAGCTGCACCATTTACCTACAATGATGAAAACAAAGTGTGTAGAAAATTGGAATGAAGATTGAAGAACCAACAAAAATACAAATATTTCATGTTTTAAGAAAGGATACCATCTCTCCAAGCAATCCCGTATAACTGCCATTTTCAATTTGCATTCCCCATTGCTCAGTCGTCGCATCATCCGTTTCGTAAAATTCGACGGAAAAATTTAACGCCTTTGATATCCCATTAATGATCTCGACTTCTAAGCCGGAGTAAATGGTTTCGTTTTGATTTACAGACATGGTAAACACGCCCGGCGTATGATTTAAGACACACACAAGCATTCGTTGACCTGAATATCCGAATTCATTATCAACCAAAATCGAATCGTGCAGAATAATTCAACAGTCACTTACCTTGTAAATCTTTTGTTTTATCAATATTTAATTTTACTCCATGTCGATACCTGCCATTACGCCAAAAGTCGAGCCTCTTTGTAACGAATAATTGACGAATGGGTAGCGGATATGGAACAGTGGTTAATTCAAACGCTGTGCTATTCGATGAAGTTCGATTGCCACGAAAGCTTTGCTCGTACTGCCGAATGAAGATAACATTCACAAATCGTTTCCAAATGTAATTCATCTGATTTACAAACAAACGATAGTCATGCAGCATAATGAGCCGAACGCGTGGACTGATTGCTCTTTCACTGTAAAATATTGCAAAACTTCATTCTTTCTTTTAAAAAAAATTGTATTTTTTTCATCTTATTAAATCTGTTTTCTTTTCTTCCCAATTTTTCATGGTATTAATCATAAATTTTCGTTTTTTTTTAAATCATTTTAATCCCCTGTTTTCTAAATTTCTCCACCAGAAAAACGTTAAAAATTCCGACTCACCGATCAATATACTTCAGAAAGCGATTCATTTGTATTCCATTTGCCAAATAAATCAAATAACATCCACATCCAGCCCGATGTGCTTCCCTCATAGCCTTCATGGTTTTATTCTTTGGAGTGATCATGTCCTCATTGAATTGAACCCGAACCACAAAGTATGTGCTGTGACTCATTTCGCTGAAAAGTTTTGGTTGCAGTAGTTCACTGTAAAGTGGGTCTGTGATCAATGTGTAACAATGACCTGGATCTAGTTTGTAAAGTAGATCAGAAGTCAAAAGCTCAATACTTTCGAACATTTCCTCAGTTCGTAAGATTTTATTCAAGCTCGTCTCGTCAGCTGTGCAAATTCTATGAAAAATTACAACAATAAAATTTGTAAGAAAAAGTTGAAAAAAGAAATTATTGAAGAAAAAAAACTCACAAGAAGCCACTGAACAGAATTAGGAGCACTTTCATTTTCACGGGTTTTAACACTCTTCACTGTCCAACGGTCGAATGCTCAATGAGCCAAATCAATCGACATACGATTTAAAATACGCGTCTAATTTGCTTATATCCGAGTCAACGACTGGCTGGAGCGGCCGTTGTAAATAATTAATTTTTCAATTTAAACGTCTCATGCATAAGAGATGGTTGGAAGCGAAACTGAAGAATGTTTAAAGCTCATTGTTTTGTATACATTGTCTGAAGCCGTTGAACCTTTTTTTTCGATTTTCATTCGGAGCAAATGTTCTGTTAACAAAAGAACACAAAAACGATTTTCCAAATGCAAAGTGCAACATGTGTCTGTTTGAAAAAAAAAATATCACAAAACTCTGCATTTCACGTAATGCCATTAAACGCGCTCATCCCGCTGACGGAGGAGAAACTGTTCTGATTGAGCGATTGGATGGAATTTCTTTTTTACTTCTTCTTCTGTTTTGCCGAACCAGTGACACTTCAAAAGCCGATATATTTGACAATTTCAAATAAGAACAAGCACGCAGAAACAGAAGAGTGAAAACAAAACACATGTAGAGAAAAAAAAGCAGCAGCGAGCAAAGAAATTTGGTGAGCGATTTTGTTATCGCGTCAAGCATTAATCATATCTTAAGTCTCTGGTTAGTAGTAGACTTGAAACGGAGCAACAGTAACACCACATTATAATTCGTTGGCAGAACACAAACACATCGAGTCGAAATAAAAAGTTCTAAGGAAAAAATTTGTCGTGTGTGTGTCAGCACCGCAGTTTTATCGAATTTATTGATTACGTGGAAAGCGCAAAGTAAACTTGGATAATAAAATAAGTTTTAATGATAGAACACTTGGTTTGATCGAGTCGTTGGATGCAGTCTTGGAAAAGAGCTTCCGTGGAACCATTAATCAACACGTAACCAATAGTCGACCAACACGACCAACGGACACGTCAGGCTCAATTTGGAATCATTTTTGTGATAACAATCGGCAACGTATTTATAAAAAAAACTAGGTTTATTGTGGTTTAATTGGTCATAGCAGCGACATTATTCGGTCAACATGAGCAGGAACATGAATATCGTTTTAATTTGTGTGGAATTGATTTGTCTTGTGAAATTATCGTATGCATACGAGGTGATTTATGCTGTGAATTCGGGTGGTGGTGCTTTTACCGATTCGCACGGCACTTTCTATGACGCAGATCCACTGGAAGGAAAAACTGGAACAGCATCCGATTTCGGTAAACAATTGAGTATCGGACGAGTGCCCGAAGAAGATGAACTATTATATCAAACAGAACGATATCATGTCGATTCATTCCACTATGACATTCCCATACCCAGTGATGGTGAATATACGTTGGTGCTAAAATTTTCCGAAGTTTACTTCAACAGTGTGGATAAAAAAGTGTTTGACGTGGTTTTAAATTCGGCGCATACAATTGTCAAAAAATTGGACATATTCAAGCAGGTTGGCAAAGGTGTTGCTCACGACGAAGTCATCTATTTCACCGTATTGCGGGGAATGTTACGGTATGAACGAGGCGAATCCAGAGTACGGAATGGTCAAGCACGACTTGAATTTGTCAAAATGAATGGTTTCGATAATCCAAAGGTCAATGCAATCATTCTCTTCAAAGGACACAATCGCAAAGACTTAGACCAAATTCCACGAATACAGTCCATCGAAGAGTACTATGATCAAGGTGTAAAAGACAAAATGGATGCGTACGAACCGGATGAGGATACAATTCGAAATATTCGCGATGAAGTGCAACAAGAAGCGCCGAAGATACGTAAAACCAGCGGACCAAAGCAACAAAATCCATACGCACTCGACGACTCATCGACCATGCTGCCGATTTTCATTGCGATTGGCGCTTTTGTTCCACTCTTATTTTGCCTATGCAAAATGTGATCGAATCATCACAATTGCGCCAATCGTAATAACCATAAGCCAAGTGTTATTCATCAGCACAAAACAAAAGCCATATTTTTTGGTGATTTTACTAGCTAAATATTATATGATTATGTACGCAATTCGGAATTCTTTAACAAAGAGGAAAAAAAAACGCGCGAGTGCATTGAATTCGATTCGGAGTATGAAATAAGTATTCTAGGAAAGAATAAAAACAACAACAGCCGCACATGCAATGTTTCAAATCTTCCTGTGTTTATATTCACTCACAAATTTATTATTATTAGATAAATTTTGACGACACAAGCAAACGAGACAAAAACAAATGTGAACGAATATATATATATATATATATATATATATATGTTAATGTGGCGAGTGCTGTTTCTAATGAGTTATTGTGACCGACTGATTTCACAATTATTATTAACTTGTTCTATTTTTAGTTATATATATATGTAAAATGAGAGAAAAAAATGAACAAATTGTATTCAGTTTTTTTTTCAACAGCCTCACATCGTGTGAAAATGGAATAGAATTAATTCTACAATGATTTAACAACTATATAAGAAGAACAACACAAAAAAAAAATTTGGGTGAAGGGACAAGGGAGTTTATTTTTAATTATATATATTTCCATGCAATCTCGTGCAATCTCATTCTCTCTATTACCTTTTTTTCTTAAAATTTCACATCAGCATTTTGTTTCTCCATCGCAAAATGTGCAAATGTTTATTCCACATTGAACTTACTTTTTAACTTTGTGATCTGTATTTTTTAAAATCAATGTCGCTTATCATATAAATGCATATGTACTTAAGCGAGCGAATTGAGTGCTTCTCAGAATATGATTAAGCCCAAAAAAAAATTGTATCACGTATCTACAATCTACGCATAGACGTGTATGTGTAACTTAGTTAAATATAAAACAATTGATTTGTTGATAAAGACAATTGAATTTAAATCAATTCTTTTCCGTGTGTTGTATTGATGTAAGCGTAAGGAATCTCCATGGTCCAACTATGACAAACAAATAAAATTGCAAAATTGAAAATGAACAAAACATGTGTTGACTTTTTTTTTCTTCTTTCAAATGTATTTTATTTCGAAATCTTATCCTATGAGTAAGTACATTTATTCTTATCACCGAAAAATTCATGCTTGTTCTCTTGCTTCAATCGACATCCGGCTGGCTGCTGGTGAGTAAGTTTAAATCCAAATTCTCGAAATTACATTAAAAAAAATTCTATGCGTTATTCTTGTAATGCCCATTGCATGATATGGTGTATGCGTCAGCAATGAAAAAAATATCTGTTTCTAAAAAGAGAGTAATCTGTTTTGTTTTTCTTCTTTTTCGACAAAGTTTTTTCCCTTTTTTTCAATGTACTTTCTATAGTGGTTTTCGGTTCTTATCTTTCTTTTTCTCCTTTCTCAATAATTTTTTTCTCGTCTTTTGTCCGCTCTTTTTCTGCCAGATCTACTCCAGCTTCTGCATCGCTTGTGGTGACAAGAATGACAAAAAACTTAAAATACCGTTCCTACAACAAATAAAAACACATGAAAATATGTAAAAATGTTGCAAAATGTTGCTCAATTAAAACGGGCGATAAAAGTGTAGAAAGGGATAAAAGTGGACAAGGTAAAATAGCGCTTTTTTTTCGTTCGCAACAAGAATTAAAAAATCAGTAATGAATTTTTCATGTTCTAAATCTACGACCATTGAAAAAAACTGCATAAAACGATTGCATTTAAATCAATCTGCGAAAGATAAAGAAGAAGAAACAAAAACTGTCTACGTCTACATGAAACGTGTAGTAAAAAGCGTTAATGAAATCTTAAAATGGGTCGATACCAGAGAGAAAGAAAGAGACAGTCCAATATAACTCATTCAAAATCTCTGGCACTTACAAGGTCGGTGAACTGATGCGTCTGTTACTATTTTGGCATTGTCCATTTTGATCGAGAGCGCAATTGCGGCGATTAGCGTGTGCAAAATAGTTTTGGCGATGTTTATTATTACCGATTGCGTCGTGCGGTGGAGTAATTCGTCGATTGGCACTCGGTGTGGCGCGTATACGATTTCTCAAGTGCCAATTGGTGTTTGGTCGTTGTCGACTCAAGTCTTTGTGCGCTGGAAGTTGTTCCAAAATAATTTGAACTGGAATTTCATTGGGCTTGGTTGGGAATGGTTTTTGTGCACTTTGAACGTTGGCAATATCGGCTAGGGACAGCTTTGGTGGAAGATCTTCGGGTGCCGGTGTTGGCGTTGTCACCACGATACCACCGGATGACGGAGTTTGATTAATTAAAATTGATGCGGCTGACGCTGTGTTCTCACTGAGAATAGTCACCGATTGGGTTTTATTAATTGGATCTTTGATGAGTGGCTCTTCAATTGGTTTGTTCGTTGCACTGTCGGTTTGATTTGCCGCAGCAAGATCTTCATCATCTGGCTCAAAGTGAATTAATTCCGGCGCAGCGGTGCTTGACGATGGTTTATCTGATGCAATATCAATTAGACCGAATATAGGCTTCACCGTGAAATCGGATAAATCATAATCTTCGTAATAGTCCTCACCAAAATCACCTACACCACTGTCCACACCGCCAGCATCTAGGGCAATGATCGCAACATCTTTTATATTCAAATGAATGTTATACTTTCCACTTTGCTTTTGATCGTATGTGGTTAAACCGGTCTCTGGTTTCTGTCGTGCTGCCTGAGATGCGCCCGCTGCTGCTGATGGTGATAGCAGTGCCGATAGGAGCGATGACGATGGTGCAGATAGAGCGCAGTTGATGCATAACACAAATGTGCACATTAACAATTTAAGCCGATACATTATGCAAAGCAAAATTGACAAACGACAACGACCCCGATCGTTAACACGATGGCTGAGAACCTTTTTCTTTGCGACCAGTTTCTTTTCCAAAATACTCGTCGATTTTCTTTGCCCTTTTTAGCACAAAATTTCGCTGTTTCTCACAATCTAGTTTTGAATAAATCAAAGCCGGTTTCAAATGCGTTACTGTTTTTTTTCTCAACTCTTCAATTTCTTAACAAAAAAAATGGCTTTTGTTTGGAATTAACGCTGCGCGTGAGTTGAAAGTGGAATTTTTACGTCTGATCACTGCGAATATCCAACAACGACTGATTAGTTAAATAAACTCTGCTCCGTCTTAAGAATGTGTCCATTTCTTGATTTGTCGGTATCTTCTCCACACTTCACCGCTAAATACTTCTGTATATTTGTGGTCACATACGTTAATGTGCGTGTATTTGTTATGTTGAATGGGCCGTTCTTTGATACCTTCTTGACCATCTCTTCACATCATTTGTTTTCTATGAATGTTAACCGTTAGCTAATGACGAAACACGAAATGAAAGGTGCTACTATTAATTTGTTTACAGAAATCGCGTTTTTTCACTCCGTCGATGCTTGGAATTCGATTGGTGGAGAAGATGCTTAATAAAGAAATCTTTTTTGTTTGCATTCTTTGTTACATAAATACCAAGAGCAATGCTCCGGAGCTTGTTTGTGTATTTTTATGTTTTCATTTTAATTATGACATTGACGGTTCTAATTATAGTCATTATTTGTTTCCTATTCTTCTAATTATCGTCCAAATTGACTATTTTATAAGAGGTAATTCTTATTAATTTAGATGTCTTTTGTTTTATATTTCACATGTAAAAGATTCATGATGAATTCATAGTCATCCACCAAATTGGTCTAATCAATAATGCCATCGCTCCAGGTTAAATTAGAACATGCGTGCAAAAATTCTGATTGTAATTGTGATTATGCCAGAATTGGCATTCACAACGTATAACACATGACAATCACGTAAAATACCTAAGATATCTAAACTGACTCTCCGTTAGACAATCATAATCAAAAATCTAAATGTCCAGATGTTCTTTGAACAAAAATCCAAATGCTCATACTTTAGTTTATTGCCTTTTTCGGTGGATAAATCGAATAAAATTAGTGGATATCATGCAATGTACCGTTGTCTACCGCATTACAAGTTTGAAGAAGAAGAAACAAACCGATGATTGGAACAGAATCATTAGAAGATTGAAATGGAATCTTTAGAAAAGTATCATTCGTTTTGTTCATTTTTTCATTTCTATTTTTCTTTCACAAGACATACAAATCATTCGCCATCTCATTCTCAAATGGATTGAACGTCAAACCTTACGAATGTTTGTGTTCAAATGAAAGTTTAACATAGAGAAAAAAATTGGTGACATTGTTCGAGTATGCTTGATTCGCATGACCATTAAGAATTTATGAATGGAGAAAGAGTTCTTTCTTTCAAATAATAATGGGAAAAACCAGTGAGTCAATTCCAGTTTTTTTTTATTTTAACAAGAGTTGAACTGAACGACCAAAGAACTCATTTTCATGTTGGAAAAAGTGAAACGTTCTCATTATGTGACATTCAAAATATTGTTTTTTACTATTAATTAAATTGGCAACGTGAAGCTATGATAATTAAAGGTTGTTCTTTCGAAGAGTTTTTGTTTGACATAACTACGTGCAGAATGTGAATCAAAATTGCATACAAATTTTCATAGGTAGTTAGAAAATGCTTCGAAAGCATATGAAGAGCCATCGTCAAACTTTTTATACAACGTACATGTACAAAGACATACATATGTATCCTTTTATGAACGTACGCTTTTTGTGCAAACATTACCATTTGAACACACATCGTTTCCAAGAATTGTGCGTTACTGATAAGATAAACACCGTGCAGGTAAGAAACAGTAACAGGTCGTTCAAGTTATCCTGTATAACAAAGTGGAACCATATAAGAGTTGTTAGTTTCATCGGATGTTGTTATCACCTCTTTGTTACTCTGTCGGTCGACAGAGTGTGATGCTTCTGTTCCATTTAATGTGTGCGTTGCAATTTGTATGCAATCTTTTGCTTTTAATCCAAATATATTCTCCGCACATGCACACCGCTCCAGCAGAATTTTCATTCTCATCCAATTTACATATATGTTGGAAGTTAGAAGCATATATGCTTCTAATGAATATTAAAGCGATTCTCCAAATAAGAAACTCGTATTAAACCAGCCACTATGAATCTGGTTGCCCGAAAAGGAAGTGGTTATTTTGTTGTTTCTAAATTATTGACTGGAAAAAGATTCTATTCCGAATTAGACCTATCCTATTAGAACACAGAAAATTGTGTCTATTCCATCGCATGTAGGTGAAATTTGCATCTATTCTGCAACAAGTTTGAGTCGAGTATAAGGAATTCTTTTGTTTCAGATAACAATCAATGGAGACGTTGCCCAAAAGTCCTCTTCAAAACAACAGTGCACTGACACTCATTTCAGACACATTCGAGTATATGCTTACCATTCAAATGTACCGTGCACTAAACGAATAGTCGCTGTATAGTGAAACCGCAAGTGTATCGTTGCAATAAAAGAGGGGAAATTATACCATAAAAACATCGCATCGCTCATGGTCGTTCGTTGTTTCGTTTATGTTTTCTTTTCGATGCGAACGAGACTGACAAACATCGAAACAACCGGCGTTTTTTTTGTTGTTTTCGTATTGGAGTGGAACGATGAAGAGCGCGCGAAGCCGAATGAGAATAAGAACACAGAGAGAGAATGTGCGATGTTTTTTGGTGTAGAATGCGAGTGCGCGCAACGACAACGACGACGACGACACAATATCCATATGTATGTTCTCTACGGAGGCAGAAATAGTTCGTGTGTGCAGGAAGAGGTACGATCGCCTCGTATGTGCCGTAACACTGTCAGTTACGATTTTTCAATCGAACGAAACAGGACGGATTTAGGGAATACGACGCACATTCGGTGCTTGTGTATTGTTTAGTGCCTCTTTCTATCTGGTTCAGTTATTGCGAGCTCATCGTACATACGATAAATTGAACGATTTTTTTTTCGAAATCGCGTTGATAGACGAAAAATGGGTGATTTGTTTATTCCAATTAATGACAATTAAATTCACTCGTTTCTGAATAATTTTGCCTTATTTTCTTCAATAGTTTTTAAATTCGAACCATTTTTCTTCGTCGTCGTTCATCGTCATCATCATTAATTGCAAAGTGCTTATTTTTTACATACATTCGGTGTTTGATACAGTACAGAGTGACAATTTCGCAAAATTGCCCAACGTGAAACACAATCTGAGACATAATAGCCGTTTGGCTGGATTAAATAATATTTATAGAATTCATGCACCGAATCAAATATTCATGACATTGAAATTTTCTTCTTGCCCCGCGATTAGTGCGACAAAATTCAATTTGAATTGACAAAAAAAACTCTGGTGTGAATAAAAAAAAGAAGTCGAAAACTCTGTGATTTTCTGTGGTGCAATTTTCACAAGAGATGATATTCAGCGAATGAATTGTTGATTGAACGAAATTAGATATTTGAAATTGTGTGTGTGAGTGTGTTGGCGAGCAAAACTGAAAAATCAAAATTCGTAGATTTCTTCAAAAATATAAATTTGTAGTGGAATTATGCACAAAATTGCGAAAATGATATGTTGTTCAGTGGGTCTAGAAGAGCCAATTTGCTTGGATCGATTATCGACATCAATTTTCCATGTAAACAATATACAGTGAATCTTTGAAGTGTTTTTTTTTGTGAAGGAAGAAGAAACAGAGTGTGTGTGAACTCTATAAAAAGCATCGCGTATCAAAGGAACATCACATAATATATCAATAATGGATGTAGATAAAAGGAAACTCGGAACGTGTATCGTTCGTCAGTGTTTGTTGGTCGTTTTGATCTCGTCGTTCGGTGCTAGCGTAAAATTTGGCTTAATTTCACCAATAGGTAAATGAAACACGTCTCAATGGACTTACATATGCATGTGTTATTTATGAAACAAAAATAGAAATCAAAAAAATGTTCAAACACCAAAATAACCTATCGTTATCAATACAAAAATATGTATCAAAGGAAGGAAGATGAATGAGTATTACGAAAACGAACCGAAAATCCTTCATCGAAATACTAATATAGCAACAACAACATATAGGAATTCATCATCAGCATGCTCCAAGTGAGAATAAAAATTCCTCGGCATAAATGCCGTTGACTGGTTAGATGATGAGAGGCAAGCTAAGCGGGAGAAACGGCGGCTATGTAGGTCACCTAAATACAACGCACTACTGTATGGCATCTTGTTATGCAAGGGATACAACTTTTCATCTCGTTTGGTTCGATGCCAACGTTGAGAGACGACGCGTACAAGTACAATAAATTAACGCATCGAAAGCGATGTGTGTCTCTGGTCGCCAATTTTATAAATGAACTGGAACTTTACAATAATAATCACTTCCTGTCAAATATTTCAACATTTTCACTAGGATATTTTCGAAAGGCAAAGCAGACCATTTTTTCTAGTGCGTTGAAGTGTGTTAATTTAATTTGGAAATGTCAAACCCTTTTAAATATATTTATCATTTGGTCCCTCATCGGATCTACGAACGGCTTTCAATTTCCTCATTTGCATTGGTCAAAAATATGAAAAATTCTCGCTCTTGTAACACTCATTCATTTCCATAATGAAATTTTTCGGGGAGGATTGCGGTGTGATTGCAATCAGAATATCAAATTGAATAAATTGACACAGAAATGTTTTCCCCAAATTATTTGCAGAGGTAGTCGAGGAGTGGGGATGCCAGGACACGGAAATTCGATTGACATGCAGTAATTTAGATTCAACAATCGCCATACTTGAGGCCACATTCAAACCAAATTGCTCGTTGAGTGGACGCAATTCATCCAGTAGGAATGCAACCGATGAGAATTGTGTTCAATTCGATTTGAAAAGGTACTTCAATCCTTGATTAATTTACAACTTTTTGACTTATCACCTAATCTCTATCATACTGTTGCCAAAATCAACGAGGTCTTAATGTCTATCCACTCGAAAGGTGGAACAATGTCTGTATGTAGAGTGTTTGGTTAGAACTGCTGCCGACAAGTCGTCCATTTGGATATTTGACGAGAGGAAATGAATACGTATCTTACCCAAAATCCATTTAAAAAAAAGCATGAATGAAATATAACCACATCAAATATTCAAGCTCGCATTTCCCTCGTAGACATTCAAATTATGAGCCAATTTGTTTGCCCGGTTGACTGTGTGTGTGTGTACACTACAAGTCTACAAATGTGGCTTTTGTTCAAGCACAAACTTTACATTTTCATGCAAATTATAAATCGAACACAAAATGCCGTACTGTCATGCGATGAGAATGTTCAACTGAATCCGGTTAAATGGATGAATTTTCCATTTTCCATCGAAATGATTTGTTGGCATGAATTTCCTTTGAAACTCGTTTCTATGTCACATATTGTAATTATGGCAGACAGACAGACCTGAAAATGTATTTCTTTCTCTTCTGTTCTTTTCGTGTTTTAACAATTTAATTTTCATATCAACAGACTAACACCGAAGCCAGTCCCACGCCTCGATGAAACGGTTGCCGCACGACGACTTTTGGAAGTATTACGTCGCAGCCATAAAAAAGAGGATGATCGAACCGAACCGACGGTACAAACGGTGAAAACAGCATCATTTGATTTTGGTCTAAAGCCAAAAGATGATGTCAACGATTTAAAGCGAAAACGATTGACTTTGAGAGCCTCATTGGAATCGCTACTTGTTGAATATTTACGCGGTTTTGCCCCGAACGATGATGACGGCTTTGCTGACGATCGGTCGCGCGTTAAACGTAGTGCCGCTGCAACCGGGTTGCAAAACAATGACGATCAAAATAGAAATGAAAACAGTGACGCAGAAAATGTAAACAGTTCAAATGTGCGTGAAGACGAAAATCGTGTACGAAATAATTACAGTGATAAAAATACAAATGAATTTGATGTGGTGGCAGACGACCGAGCCAACCGAACGACGAATGCATCGAGAAGTTTTTGCCCCGAACGCAGACAACGTATCACACAACTGGATCGAAATGAACTGACAAAAGCCATTCAGAACATTTCCGAGCATGAACACAACATTCGCAGTTTGCTAAATTACAGGTATTTGAACTGGATTCCGTAATTTTTTTTTATTTTTTATTAAATTATATATGAACGATGGCTGAATTCTCAAGTTGGCCACACAATAAAAAGGCTTCTTAGTTGTGAGTGGAAACTTTTTGCGCGTACAAAATTCAGTTAAAGATGTGAATAAGAAAGAGGCAAAGAGAGAGAGCTTAAACACTCGTGAATGAGCAGGGAAACTTTGTATCGACTCGATACTATCGAATTTTTCGGTTGGCATGTGAACACATGCAATATTCACACCGTCAAACCAAATGTTTTCAGTAGAAGAAACAAATTTCGAAAGAGAAAACACTTGAGAAAATGTTCACCGGAAAGAATGTCAAGGATTGACGGGGAATATGCCACTTTCTCAACCTAAAATACTACGTTTTCTTGGCTGCCATTCTGTCAGCTGGTTTTTTTCGGCGAACATTTGCTTCGTTTTAAAAATGAATGACTGGCAACTCAACCCAAAATCGTTCACAAATTAAGAAGCACAATGTGTGATTTATTTTTGGGAGTGGCAAAATTAACTTCTGTCGAGAGAAAAAGATCAAGAGCCTGTTTACAATCAGCTTCAATCAATCAAGGATCATTGCCAAATAATAACATCGCATCTCTTTAATCATGAATGGGAATTCGTGAAAAACAACAATGAGAATCTCTCTCAATGACAGACACAGAGAACGAGACTCTCATAAACCGGTAATGTGCATTGATTTACTGAAGCAGTTAAAGTAGCTCTTGAGTTATATACCTGAGTTTGAGTTTCCATTGCATAAAACCGCATTTCGTATCCATCAACGTGATAATTAGATTTGTATCAAAAAAACGTTACAAATCTGTTTATTGTTATTGTGTTATGCCCTTTATGCGTATTTCTTTGCATCAGCAACAACGATTTTTTTTCTCTGCTTCTTCTTTTTCAGTATAATCAATTTGTACTGTTAAGCCTCTGAAAATACTTCGAACAATGGAAACCTTAATTGGAATAACTCGGCCTTAAATTCTCTTACCCAAAACGCAGCACAGCCACCTTGAACTCTTTGAACTGAACGAAAAACCAAATAGCGTAAGACAAACAATAGCGCTTAAAGGGACAATCACACCGAAGAGGAAGGAAGGAGCGAAACGAACACAGAAAAGGCATCAAACCTTATATCCACAATCACGTCGCTGTAACGACATTTGCTTTATTTATTGCAAGAGGTCTGTGTTCAATCAACAGTTCAAGCGCTACTGTTTTCTCCTTCTGCTCAACGTCTTCTTTGTCTTCAAAATCGATACACACACATACACTTACATAGAATTTTGCTACAACTTCGACCATTTTTACCATCGCCTTCAAGTTTTCGGTATAAATTACGCAAGTAAAGAAAATGCAGTTTCATATTGACGACCGATAAAAGTCGACCCTCCTGAAATTGAGAGAGAGAGAGAGAGAGAGAGAGAGAGAGAGAGAGAGAGAGAAAGGAATAAAGAATTCGAAATGGGAAAATGAAGCAAATTGGGTTTGGGTGCAAGCAGACTTAATAAACTCGACTCGTCTGGGGTGACTGTTGTCGTGATGGTCTTCAACAAATATAACAACATGAATAAAAAAACAACAGCAACAAGCATTTTTCCATGTTGTGACTTTGATAAGTCGAGTCGCATTTTTCGCCGTTTGCGTGTGAACGCCGACAAATTGCATTAAATGCAAACCCACCGACTCTTCACCACCCGAAAAAAAAGTAGCGAACTCTTGTCGATGTTCTTTTTTCGACTTGTGAAAACATGAGGAAAATGGCTGCTAATATTTTATATGCCATAAACAAAAAAGGGAGCCAATATGTTTGATGCACTTGTTTATTTATTTTTTATTAGAAAAAACACATCCATATCGAGTTACATTGCACGTGTCATTTATGCAATAAAATTATTCCTTGAATACTTGGCCCACGGGTTCCAAGGAGCCCATTCCATATTCAACATTTCCTACGATCCACTCTACGCTTTTTTTTTATAGACTGATGTTGCGATATGAAAAAATACTATACATTTTTATGTGAAAATTGCTTGCAAAAATGTGAACAAGCCCTCAAATTTTTATATAATCATCTCCGGTTCCATTTTTTCCCTCACTTTGTGCCGACCGTTTTGAAGAGCGATGATTGGCTTGGTGCAACCCCATCGAAATTCATAGCGTGTGATCTAATTGATTGTGAACGATACAGTTTTCAGCAAATTACATCTTTTCAATTTGCGCATTTCACTTGATTATTTGGCTACAAATATATCGAATCCCTCTCCTTTTAAACTCTGAAGTCAAAAATAGCAACTCTTTCTGAAAAGTTCGATAACAAAAAAAAATCGAAGACGGAAATTCATTTTTGGCTCCGACTCATATATTGGAAACAAGATCAGATATGATCGTTAAGATATGACTCAACATAAAATAATGGTTTCTTATCAAATTTTCCAATACTTTTTCTGTGATACGGCTTCGTTTGCGGCACGGAAAATTCACAACACTTTTAATGTGATTTGTTCATTTCGTAATGGGAATGGAACAGGTAACAAATAAATTAGCTTCAAAATTACTACAAAACTTCACGTAAAAAATATCAAAGTTAAAAACAAAAAGATGAGTGAAATTGAATTTTCCATTGGGAGGAAGAGTGAATGTTCTTTCCGTAGTTCATTGTAGCGCATCAATTTCCCTGTTCATGTTTTTATTCATTCGTTTAGGCGTGTTGCTTTTGTGTAAATGTGTGCGCCGAATGAAATTTTTATGCGGAATGAAAACAAGTGGAAAGGAAATATCTCGATGTTGCCGGCAAAATGTCGTTTTCTCTCAGAGAATAGGGAAACGGAAGCGAAATCAGAATCGTTGTGACAAAAACATACACGAATAAGAGGGGAGAGACAGTGCTCTTTGTGGACGATAAAATAATAAAGACATTTTTGCCAAAGCATTAAAGTGAACATTTTGAAGAAAGAATTTTTTGCGATGCGGGTTTTTTTGGAGTAAATAATATTGTGTAGTTGGTGCAGTGGCATTTTCACAATGAGATGGTATCAATTCGTTTAAATGTGTCCTTTCAGTCTGTCTTTCGTGCACGAATCCTCTCGGTGACAGCTGAAAAGAGACGAGAAACGTTGAGAAATAGCAAGAGAGATTTAGCTTGGCATATTGTTAGACTATGTCGTTTATCTTTCTCTCGACATCGCAATTGCCAATTTTTGCCTAATGTTTTGGGTAAACCAAAACTCAAAGTGGTTTTGTGATAAGAGCCTGAGCACACAAAGTACATATACACAACACACAGAGATGTAATCGTTTGCCTCCATACATGCAATATTATCACAATGAATGGCATTTCATCCCCATTTAAATGGCTATAGCCGCATGTGTAAGCAGGTGTGGAACACCAATTACTCTCATAAAAGAACCGTCAAAATGGGCTCCATTCGTTCCAGATACACATACTCATACCAGCCACTGTAAAAATTTACACTTTGAATTTTGACTTCTACACGAAGCGAGCCGATAAGTTGGCGTATAATTAAAATGTGAGTGCTTTGTTTTTATTGAATCAAACGGAAATAAATTTTATGAGTCGAACGAAGATAGAATTATTGCTTCGCACTTTGCTCCGAGCTACGGAGCATCATTAAAATTAATGCGCTTTCCACAATTAAATCGACGCACAAAGAGGTACAGCCGAGCACATTGCCGCTCCGAGCGAATTTCATTTACATGGATTGGGTGGTATTCAATTTACGCATAAATTTAAAACTTTGGCATTTTTCACCGTAAAAAACACTTTTTATATCTGCTGCTCGATATATATAGAAATGTATTGATAGCCAAAAGTCGAAAAATGCGCATGTTTTTCGTTCATATATATGGAATCGAAGTCGATAGATCAACCACAAACATTCAGTAAAAGGCATTATGAGCTCTATTGAGTAATGCTCAATGATTTATGGCAAAATGACGTCTTATATAATACAGGCACGGCGAACTATTTTTTAAAAGAACATCGCATTAGAATGCCGATCTTTCAGATGGTCAATTTAATTTTTAGTAGACAGATTTTCTGCTTCGATGCAGCTAATAATGAATTTTGTGTGCTGCGTGTGTATGGAGATGTGGGGAAAAATCACAGATGTTTTGATGCGTCAAAGCAAATACGCAAAACAAAACAAAGTATTCCATGGAACTTGAAATCAAATGTATGTTATTTATTAACTGACTTAGCTGAAGAAACCGCTCAATTAATTGAATACAACTTGGGTATGAATGTTGCTTCATTCCATTTTTGAATGGAACAAATCGTTTGGCATGTTTCTTTTAAGCAAAAATGTGGGTGTTGAAGATTGTGCAAAAAAAAATCGCATGAGTCATGTTTCAATTCAGCACGTTATATGCGACTAGAAAGTACTTTGGAATTTGTATTCGAACACAACCAGAGTCCATAAATTAATGAATATATCTTTGAAATTGACACTGACATGATTACGTTATTGTCTTGGGAATGTTTGTTGTTTCACGGTTAGAATCGAGATGATCTTGTCAAGAGTTTCTGAAAGAGCTCACTTTTGATTCAATGTGAAGAGAAAGATTAAATTAGAAGAGAGGAAGGGGAATAAAAACTAAAACCAAGTTGAAAAGAATACGAAAGTCATCAAATAAAAAAAAACCGAAGAAAGATGTACAAATTTCTTTCTTCATTTCAACGCAATTCTCAGCAGATTGTTCTGTCTTTATCAATCTTATGCAATCACTTCTTGTGAACGATTGTTTTTTTTGTTGTTGTTTTTGTCGAGGCGTACATTGTCTGAGCCGCGCGACGTTCCGCTGCAACGCTTCCAACGATGCCTTAAATAATTGTACTTCGCCCATGCGAGTTCCACTTCAACGAGAATGAAAATCATAATGTTGTGTGGATGCGTCATACTCTTCCATACTTCATAATAAATATAATTTGTCAACGTTATCACTGGAT